AGAATTTGACATTAAAACTAGACGCTAACTACAAAATAGATAAATGTACACAATAGATAAGAATCAGATAACAAATAAAAACATCACGATTCATAAGCTCTGCATGAGCTTTAATCTGCTTTAAGCTAGTCGGAAATTAACATCAAGTCATTTTCATCTGCTTCTAAGAGCTAATTAGCCTGAACCTCCTTTGAAATCTGTTTCATACTGCTAAGTCCGTGGATGGAGTAAGTAATCGAATGCGTTACAAGAGTGTTAGGCAGGAAAAACTGCCTTGTGAAAACACATGCCAGCATGGAGGTCACAAACTTCATGTTATACATGAGTATGGGTTGCTGACATCTGAAGTACTTTGCTCCTGTTAAAATTATGTTTGTGATATTGTTTTGAGCAGAAACGTGGAAAACGGAAAGGAAGTATACCTCTAAGCTCAGTGAAAGCAGTAGAGTTTGTTGAAGACACTGCATTTGACCATGAAGTCAAGAAATACTGCCTTCAAGTGAGTTCAGTATACTCTCACTGATAAACCTCTCATGGAGTTCTGCATGGGGTGCTTGGAATAAGGTTTCTATTGACTCCTGATCAAATATAAAATTCTCCTTTGATTCACAATCATAAACAAGACAAGTGTAGAAGAATTTCGCACTTAATCAGAAGTCACCAGGGCTTAAATTATTTATTCTAGGAAATTGTTCTGGTCTGTCTTTTCCTGAATACAAACTGTGCTTATTAGGCTGCTAATCAAAATAATATTATAACATGTTCAGCATATTTGCATACCACACAACAGTGCTAACATTATTTCAAATAGTCTAGCTTGGGTGTTCATTGCATGTAGAAGTCTAATTTCTGTTTATTGGTGAATTTAGCTTTTTTATGCCGGTCATGTTGAAACGCAGACCATGCAGACTGCAGACTGCAGACTGTGCAGACCGTGCAGACTGTGCAGACTGAGTGTTATTTTTTTGAAATTGTACCGTAACCCATTCGCCCCTGAACCGCCCGTAACCGCCTGTGCGGATCCACATTCTTTCTACCCTTTGTGACGTCATCAGTTTTAATGGTCAAGGACAACTTTGCCCGCTAACTTGTGCAGAGTGAAGAGATCTTTCAAACTATACCAGAATGAGCACAATTCAGTCAAGGATACTGGAGAAAGAGGCAAAAAACCATGTAACATTGACCTGAAAATCTCCATGAAAATCTTGTTCCATTGCCCACCTACCTTTCCTTTCACCTAATCCTACGATCCTAAAAGCTTTCCTAAAAACTATTCCCACCAAAATGAAGCCTACTAAATGCCCAGCAAGAGAAAACAATGACAAGCAAAAACGATGACAAGCGGTATCTGTAAGATTTGAAGAAATGACAGCAAGTCACCAGTTGAATTACAGAGTGAAACCAAAGACGATTATCAACAATCAAGGAAATTGAGGAAATGCCTCTCTTGTAGCCATTGTAGGAAGCCAAAAACGGTTTTATTTTAAGTAGCTCAACCTGAAAAAGCTTCTTCTACTAAGAAAATAAATAATCGTGGCAATATAATACAGTTACAGAAAGAGACGGCTTACCTTCCTCCATCGTGCTCACTCCTGCGTGAAAGCGGCGCAGCTTGAAAAGCACGCGAAACTGCTTTTACATCTGCTGGTAAACATGAGCCCGTGATTTTCTCATTTCCTATGACCCTTGCAGGTACACATCAGTGCACACTGTATATGATGGTGATGCACAGTGCACATAATGAGAGGAAGCAGGAAACTATAGTAAAAATTTTACTAGAAAATTAAGGTACAAGTAAAAAAATAATACTCAGTCTGCACAGTCTGTACAGTCTGCACGTACGGTCTGCACAGTCTGCAGTCTGCATGCAGTTTGCAGTCTGCATGGTCTGCGTTTTAACATGACCATTTTAATGCTGTAAACTCTGAACTTCATCATACTTCAGTTCTAAAAGAAGGTTACTGGAATAGTATCTTTCAGTGTGACTGATTCTGTGTTCTTGAACTTACCATTAAGAACAACTTACTGTCTTTGTTACTTTTAACCCAGATGATTATAATGTAGCCCTTGACATCTAGCATTGTTGTATGTAAGCACCAAATCTGGTGCATGTGATAGGTCAGTTAACAGAGTAACTGTGAGACAGCCATTGTAGACTGCTGTATTATTTTCTCAAAATGTTTTTATTATAGATTTATCATATTACAGGTACATGTGTGAATTCCAAATCTTGTAATGTTTACATGTATTTCATATGTCTATTTGTGAATGTTCTGACAAAGAGTGAAACACATGTTCAGACCATAGTCAACTTGATATGCATTTACTATCTAGTAATTGCTTGGGTGATGTCTACATTAATCTGTTTCACAGATTAATAATATAATAAATATTATATTGATCATATCCACAGGTTAAGTACACCAGCTAAGGACTAATGAAGGCACTACCATATTTTTCTACTGATCAACAGGTTGTCTATGATGATCTGGTTTTGTACATCAGTGCAAAAACCAAAGATGAAAGAAAAGACTGGGTGGATTCCATTCAAGATGGTACTTAAGTAGATTCTTTTTTTTTGTTGATAAAGACAAAGATGATTGATGAGGAGCCTTGATGCTCTCACTCCTAGACCATTGTATAACAGGATTATTTGTCATTCTTACTATTAAATCTGTGGATGAAACTCTGTGGGGTTACCATTCAAGTAAAACCTCTTTGCTAGACCTTTTGGTCATCACTAGAGGTCTTTGATGTGACTAATTATAAGGTGAAATTAATGGAAGTGTAAAGTCATTATAGTACTTAACCCATTCGCTCCTGGAGATTTTGCAGAAAAATGGGTTTTGAAGCTAGTCGAGTGGTTTTCTGGTCACTGTTGTGCTATAAAGAGCTAAAACTTACCACAAACTGGTTTGCAGATTGTACACTTCGCGGCCTTCTGATCCAGATGCAAAATATCAGCTTGCGAAGTTTGGGCATGCGCAGAAAGCAAAATTTCAAGGTAGTTTTTGGGTTTAAAAGTGACACAGCTTTCTCTCCTCCCTTCTTTTTTCGCTTTTCTTGCCTCATTTTTTTTTCTCTTGCTGGGCATTTAGTAGGCTTCATTTTGGTGGGAAGAGTTTTTAGGAAAGCTTTTAGCATCTTAGGATTAGGTGAAAGGAAAGGTAGGTGAGCAATGGAACAAGATTTTCATTGAGATTTTCAGGTCAATGTCACGTGGTTTTTTGCTTCTTTCTCCGGTGTCCTTGACTGAATTGTGCTCAGTCTGGTATGGTTTGAAAGTTCTCTTCACTCTGCACATGTACAAGTTAGCGAAGAAAGTTGTCCTTGACCGTTAAAATGATTAACGTCACAAAGGGTAGAAAGGACCTGGATCCGCACGGGCGGTTACGGGCGGTTCAGGTGCGAAAGGTTTAAATTTAAAGGTAAGGGTTACATACTCTATACATCTGATAATAACACTTTGTTTCTAGAGTGTAGTGGTAACAAGTTTCTCCTTATGGAATATCATCCTGGAATTTTTGTAAATAAGTGGACATGCTGTGATAGGAGGGAGAAGACAGCTCAAGGCTGTCAGAAATCTTTTGCTGCAAATGAGAAAGATGGCTATCAAGGTAAGAGCAAACATTTTATAGACTACTATGAATTACTATGAATTTACCAAAAATGTTCCGAAAGTTGCAAGTATAAGTATGATTAATGGAATCTGGAGCTCGTTTTGATGCCCCAGACATAAAGGGGCAAGAGTTTTGGGATAATTATTATTTCAAGTGACTGAGTTTGAAATCTTGTACTTGTACTCAAACTCATACTCATAGTCAAATCTTAATGTCCATTTCTCCCGGCCCGGCTGCCCGCCCCTGGGTCTCCGAGGATTAACCATATCAAGACAGGCTGTTAATTTTGAACCCCTTGCCTACTAGAGCCAAATACACCCAGCAACCAGCAACCTTTCTCAACCACCAGAGTTCCTTTCCTAATGACCAGAGTTTTGGTGATTTCATTTGTCTGAGGACATATATATATGTCCTGGGTTGCTGAAGGACCCCACACAGGATGTATATATATGTCCTTGGTAGACAAGGGGTTAATTAAACTGAATAATTTTGCATAAGACATTAACATTTAAAGTTGTATTCCAGGCTTANTGAGAAAGATGGCTATCAAGGTAAGAGCAAACATTTTATAGACTACTATGAATTACTATGAATTTACCAAAAATGTTCCGAAAGTTGCAAGTATAAGTATGATTAATGGAATCTGGAGCTCGTTTTGATGCCCCAGACATAAAGGGGCAAGAGTTTTGGGATAATTATTATTTCAAGTGACTGAGTTTGAAATCTTGTACTTGTACTCAAACTCATACTCATAGTCAAATCTTAATGTCCATTTCTCCCGGCCCGACTGACCACCCCTGGGTCTCCGAGGATTAACCATATCGAAACAGGTTGTTAATTTTTAACCCCTTGCCTACTAGAGCCAAATACACCCAGCAACTAGCAACCTTTCTCAACCACCAGAGTTCCTTTCCTAATGACCAGAGTTTTGGTGATTTCATTTGTCTGAGGACATATATATATATATGTCCTGGGTTGCTGAAGGACCCCACACAGGATGTATATATATGTCCTTGGTAGACAAGGGGTTAATTAAACTGAATAATTTTGCATAAGACATTAACATTTAAAGTTGTATTCCAGGCTTAGTTACTAGACTAAGGCAACCTCCTTCCTTTGGTCAGGCACCAGTAGCAGCATTTGGTCATGGTATTTAGTTGTGCCTAAAAATATGATGTATCTTTTATATATTTGAATATCCACCCCAATGACTGACACCTCTAAAATATTCACTTGCAAATGTTAATAGTTTATAGTCTAGCAAAATTGAGATTATATTCATAGCTGTCCCTTCTTTCATTGTAGATGTATGGGAAATACCCAGATCAGAAATAGTGCTTGGAAAGGTGTTAGATTCAGGCGCGTTTGGGGTGAGTGTAAATCATCTTTTTTGACTACTGTATTGCAAAATGGATGATGAACAGGTAAGGCAGCCAGCTCCCAGCTGGAGGCCCCTGATCCCTTCCTTGATTGGCAAGTACTGCAAACCTAAAATTACAGTGAAACCTGTATTAAGCGGACACCCTCAGGGAATGCTGTAATGTCTGCTTAATAAAGGGTGTCTGCCTAATACAGGTTTTGATAAATAACGTCATATGAGGTGTCAAATGCCATTCAAATGAACAGTGGAAACGTTTAGAATACTCCCAGAGACTATAACGATATACGTTTGCATTAATTTCTTTATTAAAGAGGACCAATTGATCATAGTACCATAAACATAGATTGCAACTCAAATTTGAAGAACTCAGATGAGTGAAACAAGCTCTATACAAACTAAACGAAATATAATTCAATAGTGTACTGTGAAACTAATCAAATAAGATCGTCAAGTCACGTTTTTTAATGTAACAATCGAAAAATTTGTGGGTGGCAGTCTTTTGCATTTCTGGTTTCTGGCATGTTGGGTGGTGGAATTTAATTATAAGTGTCCGTTTAATACAGGTTGGCAACAATAGAAATGACCATTTCAGGTACTTTTTAGGTGTCTGTGTCCGCTTAATAGAGGTGTCCGCTCATAAAGGTTTCATTTAACGTAAATAAGGGAAATAAATTTGGGGACCTCTGCTACTGTCTGCTTAATAGAGGGTGTCCGCTTAATATGGTGTCCGCTTAGACAGGTTTCACTGTATAAGCCTCCAAACTGAAACAGCTGACAGTTCAGGCACCTGTCATACTGATAAAACAGCAGTGAATTAGCTACTGGTAATCTGCAATTTCTGGATATTTCCTTGCAATAATAATTTCCTGGTAGTGTAACTTTGCAAGGGCAGTGAATATCAAGTAGCTGAATGATGATGCTGAGATATTCATTTTTCATACAACAGACTGTGAGACAAGGCTGGTGGCAAGGTACTCCTGTGGCTGTTAAAATGAGGAAGGAAGTCCCCATGTCTAAAGATGTCATGTCTGAAGATGACTTCATAAATGAAGCAAAAGTCATGACGTAAGTGCAGTTATTTACCTCCTTAATACAGACACTTCAAGTGAAAAAACCTAGTGTTTGCTTAACAGAAGTGTAACAGTTCATTAATTTCAATGGAAGGCAAATGGGTAGCCTGTGTAGAACTTTTCCACACCCCAAACCCCCTCCAGGATTTCTGAAAAACTGAAACCTGCAAAGACACGACCTAAGGGTTGAAAACATAAATTTAAATACTGTGTCGTTTGTTTTGTTTTTTGAGGCAGTGGCGCAAAAGTTTTTTGAATTGATCACAAATTAGAGATATTTTAAAGCAAACCAGATGCTTAATTAATAAGAATGTACTTAGTTGCCTCTTTCTTTTCTAACAAGCCAATGAATGTTTTGCACTTCAGAAAACTCCACCACCCTCATGTGGTTCAGCTGTTTGGTGTTTGCAGCGAGAAGCCCATTTATATCATCACAGAATTTATGACACAAGGTGGGATATTATTTTTATTAACGCTGCTTGAATTAACCACAATCAGTGTTTTTCTGTGGTCTTGTAACCTCTCTCCTTCTTATAATTTCACTTTTCCTGATCAGTAATGACCCTACAAGATATTATGTTAAAAGAAGCATTCAAACCTTGAGAGACAAACGCTATACACTTATTCTCTTTAGTATATTGCCAGCCAACCTGCTTTTAGAGATTTTGTTTTAGGAGAAAAAGAAAGAAAACTTCTTTGAATTTAGCAGTTAGCTCGCGCTAGAGATCAACTCATGATTTATTTTGTTGATAATTTAGGATGCCTTTTAGCCTATTTACGGAAGCATCAAAATCACCTGCAACCTCCACAAATGACAGAAATGGTTCGGCAGGTAGCCTATGCTATGACTTATCTGGAAAGTAGGAACTTTATCCACAGAGATCTGGTAAGTTAAAATGCAAACATTTTGGAATCGGTGTTATGCAACTGTTGTTAGGGAGCTTAGGAAAGTACGCCACCACAACTCAACGGGACGGCAGAAACACAAAACAAAACAACCAAAAAAAACCATGATAGGTTTCAGCGAGTAAAACAAGACTTCTACATGTGCGTCATTGNACTTTATCCACAGAGATCTGGTAAGTTAAAATGCAAACATTTTGGAATCGGTGTTATGCAGCTGTTGTTAGGGAGCTTAGGAAAGTACGCCACCACAACTCAACGGGACGGCAGAAACACAAAACAAAACAACCAAAAAAAACCATGATAGGTTTCAGCGAGTAAAACAAGACTTCTACATGTGCGTCATTGTTTCAACGAATTCCGACCTTCTTAAATTTCAAACTGAGTGCCCTTACTTAGTAATGCTGCTAACTGATGTCATCATTTTTGTCATCTTTAATCAGGCAGCAAGAAACTGTCTCATAGGAGATAATAATATAGTAAAAGTAGCGAATTTTCATTCAGCGAGGTGGGTTATTTTTTTCTTATTAGAAATAGTGAACTACTTGATGTTTTTAGTTGTGTTCACACGTGTTTCATAAAACTAAGTGAATGTTTTATTTGGACCCGTCAGAGGAACACCAGGGGCAACTGAACAATCCAAGGAGTCAAGCGCGAGAAACCGCTTCTGTTCAATTCGAGTCGTGTTCTGATTGGTTGATGGAGTGTGGCGTTAGATTTTTATTAACAAATTTCAAAGCTTGGCGATGCAGATAAATCAAAGTGATCGTGAAGTTACTTTCGACTCTCCACTGTTTTCTCCGCTAAAAAACCAAGCTTTATGTTAAGTCTCCAGAGTGGTTTATACTACGACTAATATTATTATTCTCTTTTAACATGTTATTGTTGATTCCCGACAGATATGTCATTGACGATGAATACACGGCACCAGAGGGCACAAAATTCCCTATAAAATGGGCGCCCCCTGAGGTCATTCTCTATACTAAGTTCAGTAGTAAATCGGACATCTGGGCTTTTGGTAAGCCGCCATTCAAGTTATTGTTTAATACATCTCGCTGTATTTATGTTGCTTTTCTGTTTGTCCTCGTCGTTTTTTCTGCCTGGTTCCCTTTTACATTGCTGCCTTTAGTTTTGACGAATTGAACAGTCATAACTCAATGATATATCTTTCTATTGATAGGTGTTTTAACATGGGAAATATACACTGGAGGAAAAACGCCCTTTCCCGGAAGGACCAACAAGGCTGCTGTTGAAAAGGTCAGCACTCTTCTCCTCAGCTGACGTAGATAAAAGTTTACCCCTGCCAAGTCTTCTCTTGGCTCACTCTGCACCTCGAATGTTTTTTTCATTTATAATTTTTTTGTGATACCGTAGCCATGTTTTTTCAGGCTTAATGAACCAATCGTAGAATAAGCTTAAATATTCTTATCGGAAGAGCTGTTCGCATTAAGGCCACAATAGGATAGTTTGCTTTGCTAAAATAAGATTTAAATGCTGGCTAAGATCAGGTGCACGAAGATCCCCTGCTTCAGTTTCCATCTCCCGACGACCTCCTCGCTCTTCGCACGCATAAAAAGGAGGTGTTCAATTTTCAGTTCATGTAACGCATGTCTAGCAAGGTACGATTCCTGCCTAATCCCTAGGCCTCATTATTCTGCGCGGCTAAAGCGTTTTGGGTCACATGGTCCAGTCGACCGAGAGGGACTGGGAAAAAGGCCGTACAGGGACTAGGCGACTGGGCACTATTGTGTAGGCAAGTAAGATTCAAGGTTACGCGCGCACAATAGTCTCATCTTTTTCAGTTTTACGTACTATTTGAAGAGCTTTTAGTTTAAAAGATGCGATAGTTTAAGGAATTTTCTTCACTGATCAATGTAGAAAAAATATTTGATATTTGTTTAACAGGTTATGAATGGTGATCGACTACTAAAACCAAGAAGGTGTCCTGAGGAGATGTTTAGAATTGTGGAGAGGTGTTGGCATGCGGTAAGCTGCTTGCAGTGTCACATTATTTTTTTTTCTCAGTGGTATCAGGTTGAATTACTCTTTTTACGAGTGAAGAATTGTGATCAAAGTTCACAGACACTAGAAAAGAATTAAGAGTATAGATTATTTGAACCTCGGAGACAGAACAGATACCGTGGAAAAAGAGATTTCTTCAGTTATGTCTGGGTTTGTCTTGGTTTGCTTTTTTTTGCGATAGGATTTTATAAAAATACTGTGTGGGAAAATCCTGAAAAAATTGATTCGCGTCTACCTTTTCGTTGCGTTGTTGGTGAAAAGTCTTGTGACTAACTTAAAACTTTTAGCTGATCAGAGGTACAGCACATGAGGATTTTCTAAAATTTCAAGCCAATCAGAACTTTGAAAACTTGGCGCTTTCCCTTCAAAAACGTCTGCAAGAAGGAAAAACTTTCTCTAAATTTAGTTGTTGTTGTTCTTTTCCCCAAGGAACCAGAGTGCAGACCGGCTTTCGCGTCAGTCTACAGAAGTATTCTAGAGTTTACTGGTGAAGATAACCTCCCTTTGGAGAGTAAGGCGCAATAAAGATATACTATACTATACTAAACTCACTCACTCACTCACTATACCAAAAAATTTAATATAATCATATTTAGCGGAAATGGACAAAACAAAAACAAAACAAATTTCAAATACGCAAATGAAAATATAGAAATTATCAACAAACAAACATACCTAGGAATATAAATGACATCATCTGGTCGTTACGCCTGTGCAAGGAAAATTCTTAGTAAAAAGGCTACCGAAATTGTCTTCACAATTAAACGATTACTCTCCAACATCGATTCTTCAGCGGTCGAGACAAGGAATAAACTTTTCGATGCCCTTGTTAAACCTGTACTACTTTACGGTTGTGAAATACGGGGGCCAGAACTACTATCTTATAAGACACATTTTGATAAAAGTACAATTGAGCAAGTTCAAAAAGTACAATTGAGCAAGCGTTTTCGGCGAGTTAGCGCTATTACCAAAACAGCGCTAACTCGCCGAAAACGCTTGAAAACGGCCTGAGACGCGAGCAAACAACAAAGAATACAATAAGGCAATAAGGTAAGTCGATTTTATTTAAAAACATAACATTTTTTTCCTCTTTTAAGAAAAACCGTTTACATCCCATACAAGCCTTTGTAAATAACCGTTTGTAACACAACACCGCTCGCAAGCAAGAGTCACGTCCGCGTTCATGTAATGAGCTTGGGCCGCCTGTGCTTGGAAGAATACCTAAAGATAGTTAGAAACCCAGCTCATAGAATCAGTATGACTAAACTACGATTGGGAGTTCATACTTAACGTATACAAACAGGGAAATATGAAAATAAAGAAGCTTCTATACCAGTAGAGGAAAGGCTTTGTTTGGTTTGCAAAAGAAACTGCATAGAAGACGAGAAACACTTCTTAACTGATTGTACTGAATAAGAGAGTCTTAGACAGCAACTTTATTTTCATATTTCTGAAAATGATGCAACCTTCATGAATTTAACAGATCATGACAGAACGTTATATTTACTCAGACTGGGCAATGACAAAACTTCACATGTTATAGCCAAATATGCCCATCTAATGTTTAAAAAACGAAAACAGTTCGTGAGTCAAAAATCCAATTTATTAGGTAATTAAATTATAGTATGATTATTATCGAAATGGTATATGCCGTATAATTTTGTTGTTTCCGTTCATATTTCTTTCTTTTTTAAATTTGTTGTAGTTGAAAAAACCTTTATTGTAACTAGACCGATGCCTCTCTTTGGAAAGTAAGGCGCAATGAAGATATACTATACTATACTATACTATACTATACTATACTATACTATACTATACTATACTATACTGTACCGTACCGTACCGTACTATTTAACAAATAGATTCCATGTTGCCGTGCGTCTGTTCAGTAATAGATCACAGATGACGTCAGAATGTCGTAAAAACAAAGAAGTGGCACACGAGCCGCAGGCCAGTGTGTCACTGTTGTTTTTACCTCATTTTGACGTCCTCTGTGATCTATTACTGAACAGACCCACGGCAACATGGAATCTATTTGTTTTATACAATGATCAGAAAAGAAAAAGACCGATACACATACTTGCCTCGAACCGCTTGACCTTTTGAGGATTTGTGCTAGTTTAGGCATTTTTTAAGTCCCAAACCCAACTTTTCATCTTAGCTTCTTCTTTATCTTACTTGTGTACAGTTTCTTCGAAAAGTTTTTCACCGTCTTTTCTTGCTCAAAGAAGAATAGTAGCGAAAACAATTTGCAAAACAGCGAGTCTCTCGTAGCGAAGACACACGATGGCAACTGTTGTGAAGATTTCTTGTAGTTTAGGCATTGTCAAGTAGTCAATAGCTTTTTTGGTCTCCGTTTCTCCATTTTTCTTCTTTGTAAATAGCTCCTGCTAAACTTTTTCCGAAGCTTTCACTTGCCTCAATCCGAAATAATCTCACAAACATTTTCAAAACCGCGTGCCATGTTGAACAAAACAAAGAAAACAAGTTTCCCGTGACGTCATCCATGTATCTGTACTCTAATAGATCATGGGCAACGACCAATCACAGCGCGCGTAGCATTCACAT